TTGGTTTGGTTTGGTTTGGTTTGGTTTGGTTTGGTTTGGTTTGGTTTGGTTTGGTTTGGTTTTAGCCATCCTGTAGACATTTGCTGGAGTCAGTGTGAAGTAGCTCATGAGTTTTCTCCTGTTTCTTTCTCGATACTTTGTTCACTTAACATTTATCCTGGGTAAATTCATCTCTTTTACTCAGTAACCACTTCAGTTTCTGGCCTTACCTACTCTTACCAGTGATAGAAAAAAAAAAAAAAGGGCAAGCTCCTCTCTGGTCCAGCTTCCTCCTCTTCAAACTCTGAGATGTAAGCCATATGCCAGTGATGTCAGCTCTTAGTCTTCCAGAAGTCCCTCAGAATCAGTCACATACCAATATGATTCCCCTAGGTACTCTTGAGAGCCTTTGTGAGTTGCGTTCCTTTTGTTCTTTTAGAATTGACCTTTTGTTGCTTTTTCAGAAGAGAAGAGAGCTTAGCTCACTTTGTCTTCAGGATAGACTGCCCGTCCTTTTAAATGATTACAGTGGAGAGAAAAGCCTGAAATACTTTATAAAGGAATATGTTTTACTGACAGAAATGAGGTATAATTACTTTTAGATGGAGCCATGAATGTTTTTCTAACTTAGGCTCAAAGAGGTTCTATCTGCCAAAATAATATTGCAGGGAAAAATACTGGTCTTACGTTTTTTAATCTTACACCCATTTTTTTTAACTGTAGTGGTTTTTTTGTTGTTTATTTTTAAGAATGTAATTTAATTATGTTCTCCCTTCCTTTTCTTCCTCCAAACCCTCCCATGTACCCCTCTTTGCTCTGTTTCAAATCCGTGGCCATATATTCCTTAATTTTTTTATTTTGTTTGTTTTGTTTTGTTTTTCGAGACAGGGTTTCTCTGTGTAGCCCTGGCTGTCCTGGATCTCACTCTGTAGACCAGGCTACCCTCAAACTCTCGAACTTAGAAATCCACCTGCCTCTGCCTCCCAAGTGCTGGGATTAAAGGTGTGCGCCACCACTGCCCAGCCTATTCATTAATTTTTATTGCATGCATATATGTCTCTAAATATAACTTGTTAAGTCCATATACTGTTAACTTTGTATGTTTTGGGGCTGATCATTTTTTAAGCACATTTTTAAAACTGTAGGCACATCTTTTTTTCCTGAGTTTATCCAGTAGAGGGAGCCATTGACTAAGGAAAGTGAAACAGTGGCTTGGTGCTCAGCTTCAACTGCTAATTATGTTAACCGAGGGAAACACCACGCAACCTTAGCGTATCTCAGGTGCCTGTACACACACAAACCACACCCCCCTGCTTTTGGTGGCTTCTTTTATGAAATTCAAGATTACATTAATTCTTAAGTATTTGTCATAGATTAAGTGTTTGTCATGATTAAGCAAGTAGTTACTCATCAAAGACCTCTGTGGGCCAGGTGTGGTGGCCTTTACTACCAGAACTCCAGTACCAGCACTTCAGAGGCAGAGGCCGGTGGATCTCTGTATTCCAGGCCAGCTTGTTTACATAGTGAGTTCTAAGACAACCACCACCCCTGGCAAGAAGTAGCTTTTAAGTTCTGGTCTTGTCCTGCTCCTGCAGTCTTTCAGACCTTGCCTTTGAAGGACGATGTTGAAAGATGTCTTCACAAATCTTCCAAGGTAGCATCCTCAGGACGCAGTCTGAGTCTTTCAGCTTTAGATTTCTCTGGGATAATTATTAAATTACATATTATTAACTCTGATCTACTGAATGAATCACTGGAAATACAGCCTCGCCAGCTCCATTTGTGATAGTCTTTAGGTGAATTCTGTGCACAGGTGCATTTGAGAAGCACAGTTTATGGCAGCTCTGCCTTGGCAAGCCTGACTTGTCCTTGTGTGGAATGATAAATGCTGACACCAGTGAAAGACATCCAGGGTAAAGGGTGACAGCCCTACTCTCCTGTGTGCCGTAACAGCAAAATATGCATATGCTTGGATATTTTCATGGTAACAAACTTTTCTTAAACCATCATAGATGTCTCTGTTCCTCTCCCCAAAAAGGTTAAAGATGGCTAAGTAAATTCATATACAACCTACCAATTTCCTGAGAAAACTGAGATACTTAGCTCTAAAACTATTTTAGACATACTTCTATCATTTTAATGATTTGGGGAATATTAGATTAAGCCTCCCCAGTACTAAGAACATGGGTATGTGCCCCTGCATCACGTAGTTCTTTGAATGAACAAGTTGAACATTTTGATTGATAGAAAGTTAAATCACCAAATAATTCAGTCTGAAACGTTTTTAAATTCAAGAGGTCAGAGAAGCCAAATGAGACTATCCTCTGGGGCTGAAAGTTCTTAGCAGCAATATTCTTCCACCAGTGCCTTCCCCATAGGTTAGCGGAAGACACAAGCAGTGCATGATGGGAAGTAACCCAGTTCAGCCTTACTAGGGAGTCATTGAACAGGGTTATTAAAAATACACCATCTTTTCATTAAAACTAATTAGGTTTCTGAGAGTAACTTCAAACAGCATAGTAGTATATGTATAAAAACCATGCCTTCCCAACTAAAACTTCTTCAGAGTCAGCCAACACCGACTTTCTCATACATCTCCTCAGAAATACCTCCCCCGCTACAGCTCCCTGCTCAATCACTCCAGGGGTGACTACTACAAGCATTCTTTTGTGTTTGTTTGTTTGTTTGTTTGTTTGTTTGTTTCAGAAATACTTACCTACTTCTTGTCCCCTGTTTCCCTCTGTCCTTCCTGTCACCATGCTTTTTATACCTTACAGTATATGAGTTCTGTAATTACAAATGTACCTCGTCCTTTAAAACGCTACCATATTCTGTTCTTAAAGAGACCAAGAGGGTCATAATTTACTTAAGTGAAATGGATAGGTTTTTTAATTCTATCCTCTTTTATGATTGGTCTGGCAATGACCATTCTTGATCTATTGTCCCTAGTCTTTGTGGAATTTATAGCTATAGAATATAATCCTAGAGTCTCTATAAAATATATGTTTATAGGTGATAGTACTGGACTGAGCATATCAATTGCAGTGGTTACCGAGCCTGTGGCTCAGTGGTAACTCAGCTCGGTTCCTCTTCAGAGCTTTTCTTCAGTTGCTCTTTGTGAGTTAGCTGAAGTAGTTGAGATGGGCAGCTTCTTCAGGAGCCAAGGGTTTCTGTCAGAACATAGTTTCTCAGGCTTACAATGATTGTGACTGTGTTCAAGCCAGCTGGTCTTTGGTCATCACTAAGCCATGGGGCTGGCACAAGAATGACTGAAGCTTGACATTCTGAGGAAAATGGGTGAGATGTGACATCTGTCACTGCTGAAGAACTGTGCCCATCTTAACTGGTATTACAGACACCAACTTAGCAAGAATGCATCAGCACTCTTGGTTTAATTTTTTTTATGTCTATAAAAGTATTCTCCTGCATGTGTACATGTACATCATATCTTTGCCTAATGTTCACAAAGGCTAGAAGAAGGTGTTGGATTCCCTGAAACTGGAGTTACTGATCATTGTAAGCCATCATGTGGGTTCTGGAAACTGAACCCAGGTCTTCTGAAAAAGCAACAAATAAATGTTCTTAACTGTTCAGCCATCTCTTCAGCCCCAGTAGTAATATTTTCAACACGGTACAGAACAGCCAATTCTTCTTACGTCTGTAATCCGATCCTAACTCACCAACTCATCCATGTATAAGAACTCATTCATAGATAAAGCAGTGGCTGAATGATTGTCAGGTAGACCTCCCCTGACTTGCAGTATCTTCTGACTTGCATTCTATAATCTTTCAATAGCTTTGCTTTCCTCCCTGAGTATTTAGTTTATCTTGGCTGCCGTATTTGTCTCGTTTATTTCTTATGTGGTATATACAAGTACTTTCAAAACTCTTAGAGGTGAGTGCAGAGAATTTGGCTCAACAAACGATGATAAAATGTACTCTCATTTGATTTCTCTCAACTCTGCTTGAACTCATTGTTAAACTGTTTCTGTGAGTATATGAAGAAAAGGCCATCAGCCGTGCTAGGCTATTTCTTAGCCATAGAGTAGTCTAGTTAGAACTGCAAGCCTGGATAACTCTTGGCAGAAAGATGCTCAGGAAAATGGCTTTTGAAGACATGCACTGTGCATGCATTCATCCTGATCTTCCAATTCCTTGGCCTTCAGAACAATTACCTTCTGCTCTCTAGAATGATTCAAAGTAATATTCTAGATACTGATCCTAACTAACCAACTCATTCATATATAAAAACTTTGAGTTAGAGGGCCTTCAGGCCCTGACTTTTGAGAATTAAACCATTTAAGCCACACCTGAAAGAATAGTAAACAACTGGCCTTGTAATAGGTTTGTTACAGTTCAACACAGAACTGTAATATCATGACATCTGCAGAGTAAGCCATTCTATTTATGTTTCTGTATATTGGGTATGACCCATGTCTTTCATTCCAGTGAGTGCCAATTTTCTGTTAATCTATTTTTTTTCTTGGCAGGTTGCTTGTACACATTTGGATGTGGATTTAGTCTGTATAACTGTAACAGAGAAATTACCATTTTACTTCAAAAGACCCCCTATTAATGTGGTAAGTGTTGCACTTTGTGTTCTGAACTTGGATCTGTAGAAACTTGTGTCTGCTGTTAGACAAGAAACAGAAGAAACCTGTGTTCCTGGGGAACCAGAACTTGGGTAATTGGTAATTGTAGCAGTTCTAGAAAAGAGAATTTTGGTTTTCTAAGCTGGACAAAAGAAGAAAGCAAGTTTAAAATTGAAAGTAAGGTGGGAGCTATCGGGTGGCTCAGTGCATAGTGCTTCCTGTGCAAGCATGAGTTCCTTAGTTCAAATCTCCAACACCCACATTAACACAGACAGCACAGCAACTTGCCTTTAACCTCAGTGTGGGGGAAACAGGAGCAATCTGACTAACTAGACTGAGTCAGGCAGCTCTGGGGCCAGGTGGCCAGGTGTGAGGCCCTGCCTCAGTAGATAGTTTAAAGAGCAACTGAGGAAGACACCTCTGGCTCCCATACATGCCATACATACACAAATACACACATGAGAACACACACACACAAGAAAGGGAAGTATTTGAGCTGAGTGTGCTGGCGCTGCAAGCTACTCAAGAGACACTTGAGCCAGAAGTTCAAGACCAGCAGCAGCGCACTTAGACCTTATCCCAAAAAACAAGAAAGGGTCAGTGAACTATTGAGATGTGTTTTAGAAAAGGTTAGGAACTAAAATTTATAAAAATATTTCTCAAATCAATACTTAATAATGAGAGATACTTTAAACCTCAATATTGACATTAAGATGGAAAAGAAAAGGTAAAGACACAGAGACTCCTTGAGACACCAGAAAATTGAGATACAGAAGGAAATGGTGTGAAGTCACCAGGGAACAGTGAGTGGGATTACAGTGTGCACCAAGGCATGCTGGCTCCCAGAAGAACCGTTACAATGGGGGAGCCATGTGTTCAGGGATTTTTTTTTCCCTCTTGACATAGACTTTTCTCATTATCTTAATATGTAGTTTTCTCTTTTTTCTATTCCTCCATCTTTCATCTGCCATATTGCCTTCTAAGTTTCACACCCAGCTCCACCGCTCACCCCCACCCCCGGCCCCATTTCCATGATAGAAAGGTAGCATTACCTCATACCAGTCTCATTGGGTAGTTATGAGGTCAGTGCAGCTGGTAACTATTTGCTTTGCTGGCCAAAACCTAAAAATATTGTTTAGCATAGTGACTTCCAGAACTCAGTTATGTTATCAAAAACTATTGCCCAAGGAAAAAAAGTGTAGCAAGCATTCCGAAGCCCATGTTGACTTATGTCAGGATTCAACTATTATTTTCAAAGTGGACAGTTTCCTTACTCTTTACCTGTTGTAGAATTGTATCTTCACTGTTTGTCTCCCTTTTCACCTGCGGAATATCTGCTCAATCCTGAGGATTAGGGACAACAATGAGGGGAGTGAATTGTCCATTTGGTCTGGAAAGTGTACGATGACTTATGTTCTAACCCTAAGTGTACACTACTGAGACGGTTTTTGAAAAGTGCCAAAACTGTATAGAGAAAACCATCCAACAGCTCCTGAGCATGCTGCTGAGCCTGAACCCGTCCATTGGTGGTGGCACTTCTGGATACCCCAGTCACCACCCCTCAGAATTGGGAATCTGTGGTATACAACAGCTCACTTGTCGCATGCAGGCTGCCAAGCCATCCAGCTTCACTCACAGGTCTCAGACAGATGTGACCTCCGTGGTCTACACACAAGAGCAGCTCGCAAGCACTGGGTACTTAGGTGCCGTTAGTAGAAAGGACCCAAGGTTAGAGTCATCTTGTTGGCCTCGTGTATTTATTTTTCCTGTCTTCAAAAAGCAGTCTGTGTCTTAAAAGTTTGACTCTATTTTTTACCAACCTCCAACTGCCAATGCTTTCCACTAAACAACATTCCTAGAATTAAATAGTGCAGCTCACTGTGTGTATTTTTTGTTATATTTAACAATATTTTCATATTAATAACTAGGAAACCTGTTTTCTAGACAGCTTGCCTGGGCGAGCTTATGCATAGTTTTGTGTCATTGGCGGAGAAGAAGCAGTGACATGTGGTCATCAAAGCATGGGAAGGAGCAATGCACAGCATGTGGTTCCCTGTGGCCAAGATGCTTGTTGTTAGTCATTAGGTAGTTGTCAGTGTTGGGCAGGCACTGGGAAGTGGGGTGCTAGGGTGGCGTGAGGACAGTGGCCTGTAAGGTCTGCACAGGATACCACCACCCCACCCCCCTCCGCCAGTTCTCTTTTGAAGTACAGAAAAGTTGCTATTAAGTGTTTGATATTTCTGGAATGATTCCCACCTACATTTTCAGTTTATGAATTCTGAAAATTTTAAAAATTTGACAAGAGGGATATACAATAGTTAATGGTCTCTGTTTTTTACATTTTGCATATGTTGTTTAATAAAAGCTAGATGGCAGCGTGGACAGAAAGACCACACAGGATTATGTTTACTCTTCATCTGATACAGAAGCCTGCACAGTGAACAGTCCTGGAAGCAGAAAAGTCCCTTTAATTTATTCGCTTACTTTCATTAGAGAGGGAAAACTAGAAACAGGTGCCTACATTTTCATTTGGGGCAAATTGTGTAAGATAGGTACTATATATATTATGTAGGTGTGCCAAGACAGTAAGTACAGCATGATAAAAACTGCGTGGTTCATGCACACCACACACACATTTAAAATTTAGTAAAACAACAATTGTCACTTGATGATGTTCAGAGAATTGAGAGAAATAAAGGATAGAGCCAGGATCCTGACATTGTTTTCAGTAGCATGCCAAATTTTCGTTGCTGAAGTGTAACAGAAGCAATGTAATAGAAGAAGGATCTGTGTTGGTTCACAGATTGTGGGGTCACAGCCCATCGTGGTTGGGAAGGTGAAGCAGCATGTAGCTACTTGGTGACTGCAGGGCAACTGGAACATAGAGATACAGGACAGGAAGCGGGGTGGTCTGAAATTCAGCAACCCACTTCCTCTAAATAAGTTCTACAGTGCCACCAACACATGGGCTTATGAGAGACTTACCCATTCCAAGTACAGCATGGCTGAAATCAAGGTGTGAGCAGGCTGTACTTTCTCCAAAATCTACAAGAAGCCTTTCTTTGAGTCATCCTGGCTGGTGGTGATTTGTTGACCACAGTAATACCGTTCTCTGTCTTTGTTGTAAACATATTTTCCCTGTGTGTCTCTGACTGTCGTATAAGAACACCGTCAACTGATTTGATCACACCTGCACTGACTCGATCTCCAGGGAACATTACAGTCTGAGATACTGCAGGTTAGCAATGGGACATATCTTTTGTGGATGGGGACACGATTCAGCTCACAGTACCCAGCTCTCCCACTCTAGTGTTTATCCTATGATAATTTGAAACAGCCCACTTCTATTAGTAAAGGCTTTCTAAGTACTGTGCCTGTTGCACCTCTATGATAAGTACTAGGCAGCTGTAAAAGAAAATGGAACTTTCAGCAGGGTGGTGGTGGCGCACGCCTTTAATCCCAGTACTTGGGAGGCAGAGGCAGGTGGATTTCTGAGTTCGAGGCCAGCCTGGTCTACAGAGTGAGTTCCAGGGCAGCCAGGGCTATACAGAGAAACCCTGTCTCGAAAAACAAAAAAAAAAAAAAGAAGAAAATGGAACTTTCAAGCTGACATGGAAAAGCTTTTAAATCAGGCAAGATAAGACTATAGCAAGCCACATTTTAGGTAAGAAAAAAGAAAACATGACACGTATTCACAGTTGTTTATGTGACCAAACTAGAAGAACATAGAAGAAATAAATGAAGGTAATTTCAGCAGTGGGGGCAGGGCAGTGTGAGCAAGGGGGACTCACTGTTTCCTTATGTAGCGTTGATCAGTGAGTCGGGATGATACACTGGAGGCTCTCTATCTATCCTGAGGTCAGCGGAGGCACTGGTTCTTCAGGCAAGCCATCAGCATGCTGCCCTAGAATAAACTGTTGGTGTCTAGTCTTCCTTCTCCAAAGCTTAGCTTAAGTTTTTATGGAAAAAAAAAAAAAACATGGAATTTTATTACCAGTATCTCCTGATCCAAGTATCACATGCTGCCCTTGGTGACATCATAGTGACTATTATTTCTTAGAAGAAGAAGAAAAAAAAAACAACCTCATCATCTGCCTATTCAGGCACTTCTGTTCAGACATGAGAACAAAAGCCAATCAGGCAGGCTGTGCCATTCTCTGTGAAGATATTATTATGAACAATCACATGATGAGCTAACAGCAATTTACATAAAAATGCTCTCAGGAGCAGGAGACCAGGTAATGACTGTGTTTTATTCATCTAAAACGGTAAAGTTTTGTGAAAGAAATACAGCCTTCAGTACCACATTATCTTTAATTTCTTTCTCAAGAGTTTTCTTAGCAATGTTAAAGGGAACCTGATTAGTGTACCAAGACCAGAACCTTATGTGAAGAAAATAAGCCGGCATTTCTATCCTGTTTTCCCTGTTCCTCTCTCTCAAAGGGAGTTTTTATTTTGCTGTAATTCCCATACAATTTTAAAAGTTTAAATTCACTCAACTAGAAGCACTTAGGGATCTGATCATCCAGCACCGAATTGCTCACATCCTTTATTCCCGCCATCTTCCTGCTGCCCGATGGTTTGCGTCTGCAGCTGGAAGGGTAGGTAGCTCCTGTGTCTAATTAACTTCGGCAAAAGAAGTAGCTGAGGCGTTAACTAGAAATGACCAAAACGATGTTTTTCTTTACCTGTGGATTTCCTTCACCAAGTTCATCCCCGTTCCTAGATACTCCACAGTGAACAGGAAAATCTACAAGCTACTAGCCTTAAGATAGAGGACGAAATGAAGGAAAGGTGGGGCTGGAGCCTGGAAAAAGGTTTCAAGGAAGGAGAACAGAAGGAGCCTTCCTTTGTTGTATATGTCTAGGTGACTTCAGGTCTGTGAGATAAGTCCCTCCACTCCTGGGGACTGAGCAGTGAGATGAACAGAAGCTCACCTACAGAGACTGGCACCGTCCCACTTGACGGGCCAGCTGTCCTCTCTGTACTTGTCAGTGAGCCACTATAACCTACGCGACTTTAGCAGTCCCTGTCTGATTCTTGCCTCCATACTAAAGCCCCTTCATGTTTCCCTTACTTTTAATGAACCTTGAACAGTGTTAAACAACATGGGGTGAGTCTCAGCCACAGGGCTTTTCTAAGTAGCACCCTTCTTCACACGTAGCATTCTGTTAGCCCTGGCCATCTTTGTTCAGTTATTCAACTATGTGTAGTAAATGACATAGCCGTGAGGTTCCTCGCTCTCGTTCCTGGGCCCTTCAGGTCTTCATCTCCTTTTCCTTCATTACTGGGTCAAGCTGCTTGGCTCTCTGTTGGCTCAGTTTCCCTGCATATGGGAAGCACATCGTTTTCTTTGGACCGTGTGAGTAGCAGCCCTGTGCTCCTCCACACCGCACACTTTGCTGTCCTCTGCCTCTGCAGTTCAGTTTATGTAGGAAGCTTCCCATGCACTGACATAAGCTCTGTCATATAAAGTAGAGCCTCGTGTCTGTTTGTCTCACTTTGGGTAGGGGTACAGAGCTGTGGGTCTGTCTTTGTGTAAGCCATTCCCCTGCCGTGTAGGAGACTTGCATAGAGGGGGAGAAGGGAGGTGGAAAGAGACTTCAGAGGGAAGTAGTTAACATACTTGTCTTTGACAGTTTATGCTTTGTCTTCTTTATTTCTGGTAAAGGCAATTGAGCGAGGCCTGGGCTTTGAACTTGTGTATGGTCCTGCTATCAGAGACGCAACAATGAGAAGGTACACTATCTCCAATGCCCTCAATTTGATGCAGATCTGCAAAGGAAAGGTATAGTTCCAGCGCTGAGGATGCTTTCTGCCTTGGTGGTTTAGTAGTATCCTTGCCTTAAGCACAAAATTCTCAAGACACTAAATTCTTCAATTTCAATGACCTTTACAAGATTTTGTAAAAAACTCCCAAGGGAGGAGTCGGATATGGAGGCAAGATGTGCCGAAAGCCTCTAGTTTTGATAGGGATTTGTAGCTTGCCAAATGAAAAGACTCCTGATTATCTCTGGATTAAAGTTACAGCTTTTAATTCATCCGCACTAAGATTTGCTTACAAAGTTGATTCTGCTTTTTTGTATTGGCTGCCTTGAGTGTGACCTGAGAGTTCTCAGTGCTTTCTCATGAATTATTTATCTTCTTTTTAAAAGTAAAACTTAGAATTTCAGCCTTCAATGTTAGAATGGGGTTGCTGGACATTTGTTCTATACAATGCCTCAATTATTTTATTAATTACCTAAGATTAATACTGCTCACTTTCTGTTTTATAGAATGTAATTCTGTCCAGTGCTGCAGAGAGGGTAAGCATAGCATGGAATACCCTGTCCCAGTAGTTGTAAAACCCCACTACACTTTTAGGACAACTGACAAAACTGATGAACTATCTGTTTGTGCTTTTAACTGATTTGCCCATGGTAATTGCTAAATGTATCCCATTCATTTGGCCTTCAGGTTTTGCCTATCTATGTTTATATTTGTGAATTAACTAGAATAAAGTGATTTTATTTTTCCCTTTACCTTGCAAACAACCCTTTATATGGCTTATTATATTTTTTAGAAACTTATCACAATCATAAGGATCTTAATTTATGAAATTTACTTATCTTTGGATACTTAGTTATATCTTACTTATTGTAAATAATTAAAATGTTGACAACACCTCATTTTATTTTCTATTTTTCTTATTTTAGCCTTTGGAAATAAGAGGACCATATGATGTGGCGAACTTGTATCCTCTCAGTGTTCTGTTTAAAACCTGTGTTCCTGTTAGGTGTTGATCAGAGACAACTTCAGGAAGTAGTTCTCTCCTTCCCTCTTGTGGGGCTTGGGCATCCATCCTAGGCCACAGGGTTGGCAGCAGGTCCCCTCACCTTCTGAGCCATCACACTGAACTAGAATTTTCCCTTCGGAAATGGAATCAAAAGAGCTATTAGAGTTTAGCCTGATGTTTTCTTAGCCTTCAGTTTAAGTTTACTAAGCAGCAGCCTCGGAAGTCAGTCACAACCAGTTGTAGCCTTCTTCATCCTTTCCTGGGTTTGGGATTAAGCAGCAGGGAAGAGAGACGAGGGACAGTACAGGATAAAACAGTTAAATGAGACCTCTCAGGTGCAGGTCTCAGTAGGGCTAAGAACTGCTGTAGAATTAGTCTGTCAGCCGCTGTGAGCAGGTGAGCGGTCCTTTGTTTGTGTTGTCTCATAACCTTGGCTGACTCTGGGTTGAAGTCTTTAATGACCCTATCAGAGGGCTGCTGTTTGGGCTGTCTGAAAATGAAGGCAAGGCTGCCGTGTCCACAAATTGCCGAGCCGTATTTCTTCATGGAGGTGAGCATGTTCTTATTTATAGTAAAATCTGGTCTTGTTAGAGGCTTTTATCATCAAATAATTGACTTGCATGTACTTTTAGTATCCTCCCTACAGAGTTCCTATAGGGGTATCTTCTCAAACAATTCTAATACATTCTGTTCTTTGCCCTCATTCCACATCTTCCTCTCTGTAGTGTGCATTATATGTACTTTGCATTACAGAATGACTGTTGAATGTGTTCTTTCAAACTATACACTGTCCCCTGCCCGTATTTTCAGAGGCTTTTAACATCCCTCCTGCTTCTCTCTGGATGGTCTTTCTCCCTGCTTAATAATTAATTAATTAATTAATTAATCAGAAGTGAGAATAGTAGTGTTAGTTTGACAGGGTCTAGAACCATCTCATTCCAGAACTGCCTGTGGGGGGTTGTCTATTACAGTGAGCCCCTGAGAATTTGAGGGTGTAGTTAGTGGATGTGAGAAGACCCTACTTCCTGTGTACGGATCCTGGATTGTATAAACTAGAGAAAGCAGGCCGAGCACTGGCACTCAAACGTGCGCTCCTTAGTGGGGAATGTGATGTGGCCAGCTGCTTCGGGCTCCTGAGCCCCTGAGCTCCCTTCCATGATGGCCTCTACCCTTGCGCTGTGGGCTGAAATAACCGATTACTCTGTGAGTTGCTCTTCTTATCAGAGTATTTTATAACAGGAACAGAAAAGAAACAAAAACATCAAACCATTAAGTAAAAAAACAGAAGCTTAATTTTTTTTAAATCCAGCTATCTAAACTCAGTCTGTAACTTTTGTTTTTAGTATAACTCAGCATGTTTCTTGTTTTGGTTTACATAGTCATGTATCTACTGTTGTATATTTTGGGTGAGTTTTCCCCGAGGGGTTTTTTTTGGTGGGGGATTGGTTATATAAATATATTGTACTGGGTTACGTAAGGCCATTTCTTTGCAACGCTAATAAGTTTGCTTTGAGCATATTCCCCTCCATACCCTCCTTTCCTCACCCCCGTTAGTCTCTTGTGCAGATTCCCCAGCACTCAACACCCCTCACAGCTGTTAGTCCCCTTAATGCATGTCAGTTACCCTCCCCACACCCCTCAGACCCCCATTAGTCCTCTTTGTGCAGATTCCCTTCCTAACCCCAGACTGGTCCCTCCGCCGACTCCCTCACATCACCTCCCACTAGTCCCCTTGTTCCTGAGACAGTTGCCTCTGACTCCTGGACTTCTCCCATGGTCTGCACATGCGTGGTTTGTGTACCCGAGTGGCGTGTGAGGTCCATGGTGAGGCAGAGCTCACATCTCCTGCAGCGCTGCTCTTCCTCCTCCCTCCTCACCACACCCTTCCTCAGAGTTACTTTTCGGTGTGCTCCTTAGTTCATCAGGCAGGTGACTGTCCTGTGTACCATCACTCTAATGAATCTGTTTGTAGTGTACTTACCCAGCATTTTGAACATTTAAGAACAACTGCTAAGGAACTTATATTCTGCATATGACAGTGCTTAGCCTGTTAACATGTGCTCAAGTTGTCTAACTACTGCCAAACTGACCGGAGCATACAGAACAATCCCTCTTTTCCCTCCATTATTAGCATACATGAAGGATTGATGAACATGGCTGCTGTACTCCAGGCCACTGTTGGTCAGTAGAGAGGTACCTTGGTAACCTAGTGAGAGTGATGGTGTGTGCTGTAGAGTGAGGTCAGTACAGCCCTTGCTGTGGGAGCAGTGCAAGTGACCAGCGCCTGTGGCTGGTTCTGACTGCTTGCAATGCCATGGAGAGAGCAATGGAGAATCCCTACTCTGCAGCTTCTTAAGAGGAAATCCTTAGAAACGAACTAGATGGTAAAAATTCTGATTATAAATGGCATCTGCACCCGTGAGAGAGAGCTCCTCACCTGTGGTTTTCTTATTTACCGGGCTATAGACCAAAGGAAATGGGGCAATGCTGGTTAAACCAACACCTGCAAACTGAGCTCTTAGGCTCAGGCAGGAGGATCAGAGTTGGCTGGACTGTGTAAGGGGAGTTGGAGGCCAGCCTGGCCTACATGGTGAAATCCTGCCTCAAAAAACAGAAATAAGTAAAACTGTGTTTTATCTCTATTGAATGTGATTTCTATCTTACAGAAACTAGAAAAACTGCTTTTGGAATTATTTCTACAGTGAAGAAACCTCGGTCATCAGAAGCGGATGATGAATCTCTTCCAGCATGCAAGAAGGCTAAATGTGAGGGCTGAGAAGACAGCCTGAGTCTCCGTCACTGCCTCCTCCCCGTCATAGCTCATCAGTCACTGCAGAAATAAAACTCTGCTGAGTTGTTATTTTCATTAAACTGGAAACCAACAGTCTATAAAAGCAGTTTTATATTCAGACCTTAAAACATCAAATAAAACCCAGTGAAGCATTTTTCAAAGACTAGCAGTTTAATTAATTTAGATATACTTTAAGAGAAAAACTATTTTATCCTTCATGTAAGGTACACTGAAATAAGATGCCTCTGTATTGTAAGACATTGAAAATTAATAAATTAATGTTTTTCTACTTGGTACATATGGATTTTTAAATCTTACTATCCAAAAAAAGTAGTAGTTTTGGAAGACTTAAGCTCTGTTATGGGGGTGACTTTAGCCAACTGATTATTTTTTGTACTTTGATGTACTGCTTGAGTTGAAACCTTCCTAAAGGACTCATGAACTTGTAAAAGCAGAAGGGCGCTCATAAGAATTACTTGTCCCCTTGATTCGCTCCCTCCTGCCTTCAAGTCGTCCGTAAGATATGTCCCTCCCTTTAGTGAGGGATCCCTCAGTAGCTAATAGTGATTTTCCTGGTTACTATAAGGTTTAAAGCATCTGGATCAAAAAAAAAAATCCTTTGGAAATAATTTTCAATAACAAGTTCATTAGACTGAGTATGTAGCCATTTCTGTAAATTTCTACATTTATGCCATATTGATGCAAGGACCCCAAGGATGTGGTGGAATTAACTGAAGGAGAAAAAAATGAATGGTGTTCTGAAGATGAAGAAAGCAGGTGTTTAAAAGAGTCTTTATGCTAGTTTTACAGACATAGGTACAGAGATCACATATTAACGAGCACATTGTTAAGTCAATGAAGCTTTAGCCTAGGATTGTAAGGGAAACCAACCTAGACATCAACAGATGAGTCGTAAACAAAATGTGCATACATTGTGATCGTGAACATGGATGGTGGACAGGATCTAGCATCACAGAGACAAGTCCAAGAGTAGTTAGATTAGTTACTTGAGGTGGGAAAACAGCCTGCATGAGTGTTACCATCCCATGGGCTGAGGGCCTAGATCTTCATGAAGAGAAAGTCAACTGAGCACATACAGGCATTCACTTCTGCTTCCTAATGAGGCTGATTCAGAATGGTCAGTGAAAGAGTAGGGAGCACAGGGTCACACCCCAGTTATATGCTGGATCATTCACTTTGGGATACTGGAACATCTGGTTCTCTGGGGAAGTTAGTTCAATGTGTTAAAGTACATAGACTGAAACCAAACTCTATAATCTCCCTCTACCTCACTTCATCTTTTTCCTTATGGATGGCATTACTACCAATGTTAAATAATTAATATTCATAGAAGCATTAGAGCAGGGCTTGACATAGAGAAAGTATCCATTCACTATCTACTCTTAGATACTCCTTTTAGGAGGAACAAAACCTAACATCTCTATTACACCAGTACACAACCAAAAAAAAATTCAGGTGGTTTGAAGATTGAAATTTAAGCTGAATTTGTAAAATAGCACAGAAAAACAATAAGCCAGGAAGGAGATGCTGTGAACTTGTATCCCTACCTAGAACTTGGAATGTGGGAACAAAAGAATCAGTGGTTCACCGGCATTCTCAGGCGTGTAGCAAGTTTAAGGCCAGCCTGGGCTATGTAAGACCCATCTCTAAAAACAAAAAGAAGGTGAAAAGCAAAATGTAGATTTTAAAAAGATCTTGGATTGAAATAGACTCAAATATCATTGAAACTAGAAAATTAAATGTCAATTGATTTCTATGAAAATACATTAGAAGCAAGGGATGTGGCTCACTGGTGACACACTGAATCGTGGGTTCAGTCTCTAGCACTATAAAATTAGAATATTCTGCTGGAAACAATACAACCAAGGAAAGTCACTTTATCTTTGAGAGATTAGAATCATCATTTCTGAATTGTTCTCAAAAGTAAACATCCAGCAATGGTGGGTGGTGCATGCCTGTAATCCCAGCATTCAAGAAGCTGGGAAAGGCCAATCGTGACTTTGAGGCAAAGCAGGGCAATACACACAGTTCAAGACCAGTTAGGCTACGTAGTCAGATCTTGTCTCAGACACAATACCATGACAAATATCGCTGGTGTCTGTCCAGATCCCTTTCCCAGGATTCCAGATGTTTCCGATGTTGGATACTAAGAAATACCTTTCCCCCAGAGAATTAACCTTACCCTAAAATACCTGGGAAGTCTCACTACACTGGGGTTAGCCTGGGGCCAGAGCCTGAACATTTCAAGGCCTTAGCTGAAGATAGCTCTCTCCTGAGACCACCTCCTTCTCTCTTTCATCCTGTCCTATTTCCCCTCTGCATAGCATGTTCTCAATAAATAAAACACTTGTATAAGATCTTCAAGAGAGACCAACTTCAATTTAAAAAAAAAATAGAGCAAATAAGAATCAAAAAGCACTCAACAGATATGAAAAGCCAGACTTTACTAGTCGTTGGTGATATGTTTGCTGGTTAGGTTGGGAGAGGCTGTAGATCATTTTGAAAGTGGCCATAATTTGATGTCAACCTTATAGACACTTCTACAATGTATTCTTCAAAAGGTCGCTCACCCATAATCTCCACACTTAGGAGGATCTTTGAGTTTATGGCCAGCCTTGGCTACATAGTGAGATATCCTTCCTGTCTTAGGAAAAAAGAATAAAAAACTAGCTGGGTAGAAACAGTGCACACATATGGGTATTCATTCCTACAATGTGTAAAATGATGGAAAGATTAACCTAAACATTCAACAAACGTAGTTAAATAATTCATGGTCATTGAAACAAAACAGTAGCATTTATTAAGACATCTAAAATAAGTTGTGAATAAAGTAAAAAGGAACGAACATGATTATTCCTAAGTTGGTGGAAGAGAAAGTTTATTACAGATATGTGGGAGAGCATAGTCAGAGGCAGGGCCATCTGGGACAGTCCAGAGTGGACATGGACCTGAGCCATGTGAGGAGAGGGGGGAGGGAAAAGGAGAGGGGAGAGATGAGGACCAGGTGCAGCAGCCAGAGACCCAAAGAAAGTAGATAAAAGGGGCAGGTTAAAAAAATAAAAAGAGGATGGTTGGAGACAGCACTGACTACCACAAACAGCCCTTTGATTTGTGCTCTGGCACTTATAAGCACACACGTAATCAGTGTTGAAAGAAAATGGGTTCCTGATTAGGTCTGGAGGCACAGGCCTGGGGTCCCAGCTATTCAGGAGACCAAGGTAAGAGGGCCACAAATTCAAAGATTGCCTAAACTACAGAGTGAGTTCAAAGCCACCCAGGGCGATTTAAGGAGATCCTGCTACAAGAAAGCAACAGAAGAAAACAGAATAGCACATAGGAGCATTGCAGTACATCGAGGTGCCGCACAGCTCAGGCTTGGGCACTCGCCTGTGTCCGTGAGGCCCTGGTTTTAATCAACAGAACTGAAAATACTAAAGAATAGCAGCAGCCAAAGTTTAAAGATATTTTAAGACAAAGAGTTTGCATGTGATCCCAAGAGAAATGGGACATCGTTGAAAGATTTCAGAGGAGACTGGCTGGATCCGATTTGCATTTTAGGAAACTTCTGGCCACAACTAAAAACACAGTAGAGGTGGGCTGGAGAGGGTCTCAGCTCTTAAGAGCATTTGCTTCCCCTCCAGAGGATCTGAGTAGTTCAGTTCCCAGCACCCAGACTGGGCTGCTCAAACCACTTGTAGCTACAGTTCCAGGGGATCCCACACCCTCTTCTGGCCTCTGTGGGCTCCTGAAACACATTGTATACACATTCTCATATTCTCTCTCTCTCTCTCTCTCTCTCTCTCTCTCTCTCTCTCT